AAAGAAAAAGCAAAAAAGCCAAATAGAAATAAATTAGCCATGTGATTTACATTAGCGTATTTTAATTCAGTATTTAACAATTATCTAAGAATTCATTCACAACAGCAAGAGATAATTCTGTAATTCCGCGCTGTAAGATAGACAGGCGCCATAGTCATTTTAGAGCCAACATTCTCCATCAAAAGAAGTCGCACAATTCGAGAAAGAAAAAGGTAAATTGACGCGAGCAATGTTATGTCTCAGTTGTCGCACGTTCAGTCGCCAAACGAAGCTTGGTTTGTGGCTCAGGTGAGGAACTGGCGGAGGAACCATTACCCTCTCTGCGATGAAAAGTCCTGCCTACACCTCTAATTTGTTGCTTGAAATTGTGATCAGATGGTGTTGCGCACTGCAAACCATACGCAGACTGGCTTTTCTACTATTAGCACTAATCTAAAACACACGTCGCGTTCCTGGAATTTACGCCAGGCTATATTTATTGAAAAAAAAAATGGAGCCATTATTTCTTTGGTAGTTATCCGATGTGCTTTGTAATTCGAGTACGTTTGAAACTCGCTAGATGATTCAGCCTTGAATAGCCCATTTTACAGTTATGGATGGAAGCGAGGGTGAGGGTGACCTTGTTTTGATACAAACCCTCTCTGCTTTGTTATGGAAATTGTTCTTGAAAAATACTAGTTAGCATAAGAATAACTTGATTAACATAATAAAGCAGGAAGGTTTGTATGAAAACTAGGTCACCCTCAGCCTCGCCTCCATCCACAACTGTAAATGGCCTATTGCATGAGAATGACACTAAGAAACTGATGCAAATGATTTCTCTAATATTCAGCTGTAAGCGTGTGTGTGAATGTTGCAAGCTATGATAATTACACGCTAATTAATTTCTATTTAACTTTTTGCTTTTTGCTTTTTTCAATGACAATCTTATTGCAATTAGGTGTATTTGAAAATAACATACGTAAATAAAATTCATTCATGCATGAGCTAGATTGGGAAAAAGAGAAGAGGAAGAGAAGGGTTGAAACACATAAAGCTTCTTCACTCGATTAACGAGCAAAGTGAATGTCACGTAATCGATGACCGCCTCGAGGCACATAAAATGATGCCTCAACCGCGATTTATGGCCGTTTTATGGGTTTCTATGTACACGGTTTTCTCTCTATATAAAGGTTTACATAAAAACCCAAAGGCATAAAACCGTGGACCACACAGGAGAGACGTTACACACATTTTAAGTAAGGTAAGCTGTTTTTTTATTGAAATCCTTTCATTTTCTTAGGTTACAGAAACGATAGTTTTTTTCCCATACAAATCCTTATATTTCGAATGTTACGCAACAATGCGATGTTCGCCGAAGCTCATATTTCGAGCTTGGGCTACCTGTGCTTTGCACGGTGTTTGTTTTCGTTGATAATAAGATGCGCAATAAATTCAATTTTGTACACTGTAAAGGTTCCAAGATTTTGATTCTGTTGACAAAACCCTTTACGGTGCCACTAGTTTACGTACCTTTTTGAAAGAACCTAAATGATAGTACGTGAAAGCCGTGCTAAGACGTTGCTTAAGTTTTACGCTATTAACCCTTAAGCCCTAAGGGTGATCAGCATCAAATTTCTCCTTGTAATATCAATGCTTTGTAAAACAGAGTGGTCATGAGAATTACGGGCATAATCACACAAGATAAATTTGCTCGATATTTTATCAACTTCTCCCCACTACTCCTGTGGGAAATGAATAGGAGCAACAAATGAGAATTCAAATTTTGATCTTAGGGTTTAAAGGATTAAAGTTTGAATTTTATTCAATTTTGATTTAAAAGATCCTTTCAGGCCAATCAAATAAAAAAAGAAAAAAAATTAGGTACAACATGGCCTGTGAACAGGCTCTCTGTTTGAAGAAAGGGTGAAATAACTGCGTGGTAAGGAAAGGGAATTCACCCTTTCCCCAAACAGAGAGCCTCTCCACAGGCTAGAGCGACATGGCGATGAGATATATGGCTCAAAGGGGGAGGTCATTTAAATTCACACGTGAGAATTAAACTTGCCCGTGAATTTGCCAGAAAGTAAATTCACTGGCTTAAAGTTTCAAGTAACCTTTGTTTTGCCCTTTAATGACGGGTCGCGAATTCCGGGACACAAATCACCCAAGCAATTACATAGTTGACAGGTACCCAGCTGTCAAATTGCGATCTTTGAAATGAAGTCCTCAACCAACAAAGTCCGATTGAGCTCTAGTGATGGAAAAATCAAATGTTTTAATAACTAAAAAATTTCCTTCGTTCCAAAAAGTTCATTTTCCGCACGAGTAATCTCCCTTTGGGAAAAAGCAGAGATTGTTTCGTCCTTTTTGTGTGTATGTTTATTTGTTAGTATCAGCTTTTTTTAATTTTCAAGTCGACCTTTCCCTTATTGACACAAGAAGTTTCTAGCAAGAATCAATCAGGAGCTTTTTTGCCCAAAATAATGTAGAAGTTATTACTCAGGTGATGGTCAGTGTGTTTCCTTGAGATGCCGCAGACAAAAATAAAACGTACGCGTACACAGCGTCGATAAACATGAATTGTGAACATTATAAACTTTGCGTTTCGTATGCTAGTTAACATAGATTTGCAAAAGTGAAAAAGGTGATCCTTACGGATTATGACAAAGCGATTTATACAATACTAGTCATAGCTATCTCAAGGCCCTGTCCACTTGTATCAGTATTCGTTTGAAAACGCAACTTTTTTTCTCCGATTTCAAAAAAAATTTCGTCCACTCGTAGCGTTTTCGCCCATCCACACGTAAACGATGAATTGATTTGAAAACGATAACTTACCCGACTGCGTATGCTTGACGCATAAGTGTTCACTGTTATTATTCCGCGAAATAATAGATTGGCGCCATCTTTAAATTTCTTTGGTGTAGGTTTATATTGTTGTGAAGTTCTTCGAAGTCGCGGAAACTTGTTGAGGGCTTATGAAGCTCGCTTGGCTTTTCAACGAGAGGACCAAGACGCTGTTCGTTCTCTTTAGACAGCAGTTTATTCTTCAACAGCTTCTGACAACCACTCTACTACAAAACTAATTCTACTAGCTTACACAGCGAATTAAATAACCAAATTGTAAACTTATTTTGACTTAGCTGACCGGAAGAGTTTCTATTGAATACCTTATATCGCCTATATCGCAACAGGTTTGCTATAGTAAGATAAGTCTACACAGCCGCAACCGACAAGTATCAAAGAAACAGTTAAATGCTAACAGTGAAACTGCCCAGAAGGACAAAACATACAAAACAGGTCAGCTTACTCCCCAAACAAGTCTACTTCAAAGAACCAAAACTAAATTTAACAAACCCTTCAAATGGATAATACTAGACAAAAACTCAGGAACTAACCATATGGGGAAATATATTGAATCTTTAAGTTTCTAAGTCTATAAAAGTCTATAAACTGTTTATCACGAAGCTAGCAAAATCTTAAAAATAGCAAAACTGAAAAACAAAACTAAAATGTCAAAATCAGGGCAAAAATAAGGTCAAACCAAAGAGAGAACCAATCTTCCACCTCTTGACACTGGTAGCGAAAAGTAGCCTGATAATCTTCTTCCGCCTCCTGGAATAATCAGCTTGAAGGATTAACAAAGCTAAAAATGCTTGAAAACAAGCAATTAGGTTAGAAACAAGGCCAAGTATAAAAGACAGAGAGAGGGAAGCGGTCGTCCGCCATCTTGAATAAGTTTCTTTACTCATATCCGTAAAAAATAAGTTGCGTTTTCAAATGTATAATGCGCAACTGTTCGTTTTTATATGAAGTAAAAAGATCACACCTGTTTTATTCAAAGGGCGTTCTCGGGCAAGGAGAAAGCCGGTTTTTTGAGAACGTATTCTCAGCCGCTTTTATAACTATGACTAAAATCTTCGCAGCAAGGGCATATAAATATCGGGAGAAGTCTACCCACGCGGCGGGCTAATGCCTCAAAGATTAACAATTTGTGGACGTCTTTATTGCATATGAAAATGCTTCTTCTAGAACTATTCCCGTCGGTACCCTAGTGAAATTTTATTCTTTACAGACTAATTAGCACTCCCCACCCCCGACGGTACACAAGTTTGTCAAGCCGAACTTTTTTTCCCCATTATTCAAATAAGCTTTGGGTCGGTCTGGGTAGGTGTTACCTGGAACAAAAAAAAACTATAATTGTTTTAAGTTTGATGGGCAAATTCAGGTCGGTACAATGGACCATTTCTTGATACGTCTAGCATATTACATCGTTTTTTTTCTTTTGTTGTGACTTTTTTATGGTGTTTTGGATTTGATCTTGTTTTTGTTTGGAGTGGAAAATTAAGGAAGAAGAAGAGTGGAGGAGAAAATGAGCTCGGGGGAAATTGTACCCGATGCATGCGCGCCTACGTGTTCTCTTTTTTTATGATTGTCACTTGTATCATCACCAATATTAGGAACCAGAAGCCCATAACCCCGAGCGATCAACTTCCATGCGCACGTGTCAAGGCACGGTTTTCACGGACCAGTTTATTTTTTGAACGGTTTTGGCGTGAATTTTGAATATCTTTTACAAACCAGTCAGCAAAACCTATAGACCTAAAAATGATTTTTTTTTTTTGCCTTTTGATAACGCTTAGTTTTCCTTTTTGATATCTTAAACTTCGAATGCACTAGTAGACATGGTGGAGATTCTATTTTCGCGGGGAAAAGTACTCTAAAATATGTCCAAAAACAAACTGGTCCGTTAAAACGCTGTGACAAAGGCCAAGTATGGGAGTTGCCCGCTCCGGGTAATGGGCTCCTGTAGGAACACAATAGTCTGATCTCCAGTTGGCTTGATTGGCTCAATGCACAGAGCGTTGGGTACGGTCCACGCAGAGGTCAGGGTTTGCTTGCCGGTCAAGCCAAACGTTTTCATGTTCACTTTTATATATGGTCGATGTGTACGTCATTTATGCGAAATCGATTAGTTCGCACTATAAGTACTACTGCCATAAAAGAATAGCATCTTATTACAACACAAGGACCTTTCCTTTTTCTTCCAAAAAATTTGATGCGGCTACACAGACACGACCTTCCGTTGTCAGAGCGATCCCAGTTATCAGGTAGCCCCTCTCCACGCTAAGATCAATGCTGCGTTCAAATTTGCCTTCGGTGCTGTAAAACAGCAGTTGTGAAAGGTCATCTTTGGTCTGTGAGGCAATTATAACGTGTTTGCTTCTTGGATGAAACGTTATGGCACGAGCAACTTTCCCCACGGGAAATTTTCTTATTTTAGAGAATCGTGAGACGGGACGATCTTCTTTATCTTTACCTGATAAATGGAACTTGCAACGGCGACTTTTTTCTTGGCTACTTGAAGTGTGACGATAATCTTTACCCGCAGACTTGTCAGCGAAGACAAATACATTGGAGGAATACCAATCTAACACCATGACACACTCATCAGCAACTGCGATATCTCTGATACGGCCTAATGTGTCGTCGCAAAGGCGGTCCATACGGTTTCCTCTCTTATCTACCATCATTACATAGTGTTTGTCTGCATTTGTCATTACGTTCTTCGAAGTTGTCCGGCCGCCAAGACTCAAATGTCCCGGTACAAGAAGAAGGCCACTAGCTGTCGCCTTTGTTGTCACAGCTTCGAACTGGACATCAAAGGTAAAATGGTGCTTGAACTGAGCGTGATGGTTGAAGAGGAGCATGCTAGCCATAAAAACTCTCTCCTCTTTGTCGTTTTTGGTCATCAGCACGTAAATGTTGTCGTCTTTGTCAGTACCTACAGCAATGATTTTTCTGTTGTGTATTATGCGTTTATCTTCAGTAGCAGTAAAGGATTTTACAAACTTACCAGTAGCGTCAAATATTTTCACGCAGTCGTTGCCAGTTGAGTCGGCAACAAGGAACTGCCCAAGGGTATTTGTCGCTATACTAACCGCTGACTTGAGGTTTTGAAGTTCTTCTTCGCCCTCCTGACCAAATGACCAAGCTAAAGAACAATCGCTTATCTCTCGCTTAGACAGCGTGTTTGCCACTCTTGAATCACGGAGGGGGTCGACCTTCTCTTGTCCGATTTCAATGCAGGGCCAGAATATGATCCATTCTTCACTACCCACCAATAACTTGAAGTCGTAAATGGTACGATTTAATTGACAGACGGAGGAAATAATTTGTCTTCGTTCATCCTTGCTGAATCTTGACTTGATTCCCTTCTCGATTTCAACGCTAAAATTCTCTGTAACAAACGGCATCGAGTGTAGTTCGTTGAGGCCAGATATACACGCGTCTAATGTACTCACTGGAGTTTCAACGTTTTCCAGTATTGTTGCCATTAGACGAACACCCATGGCAAGGATCCGGTCCAAAGGGCTGAGGACTTCATTGTTAAAAGCCTCCGTTGCTTTCCGTCGAGCATCTTCAAACCTCTTCTTTGCGTCAACAATTGCTTCCGCGTCAAGTTCCCTCGTAATAAGAGATAATTCGTTTTTGGCTCCACCAGACTTTGAGGAAAACCACTTGGACCAAAATCGTTTCTTTTTCGCTGCTTCAGGACTGTCGACTTTTGTACTGCTTTTGACTTGGTTGGCCCCTTTCACGTTTTTTGAGGCGCCTTCGTCCCGGGTTTTCGTGTCCATTGCTTTATCCAGGAACACTAATCCCTCCCGGAAAAAGGATATACTTGCCCCGAGATCTTTCCTCGCCATTGCATCTAGCTTCGATTTCACGTTGTCTATTTCGTCCATAATCCAGCTTCGTAATTGTTGGTCTGTAACGTCGCCATCCTTTAGTTTTTCTGATGCACTTTTTAGGCCTCTCTTTATGAGAAGGCCAATGGTACCTTTTAACACTGTTGCTACAATTGCAAACATGACTTGTTTGTTCCTCTCCGGGTATTACGAAACAAGTACTTGAACTGTGAAAAACAGACAAATAAAAAGAAGTTAACTCATGGATGAGTAAAGTTCGACCTGGCAGGCTAACCGGCTGACGTCGTTTCTGGCGTCAGAGCCGCTTATCCTGGCCTATTTCCCTTTCGTAAACGGTCTTTGCCATTATTAGCGGTCGATGCCACCATTGGTAACAGAGCCTTTAGTCATGATAGATGCAACATACTCCCTGGATTAAGTTACAATAAGGAAAATAACGCGTTTATGAAAAGTCTTAGAAAGAACAACGTTGAGGCCCAAGTTGAATTTACGTTGAAAGTTATGGAAAGGGCTAGGGTCACACCCGTTATAGATGTATCAGTTAAGAAAAACAGCTTGTTCGTTATGTACTTAAATTGTTCGGATTTTTGGCGTGTCAGGTGTTGTAGTGTTATGGTAAGGGAGAGAAATATAAGAATACGAAAGGTCCGGGTTCGAGCTCCGCGTTGGACCCTGACGTTGCGATTTTCTTTCTTTTTAACAGAAACACTCTCAATAACAGGTCAAACATTTTCGCAGAAAAGTTTACGAAATTGAACAACTTTGTCAGAGCCACCAAAAGACGTTCGTTTGTGCCTGGTTTAGATTAACCAGCAACCCATTGTAGCTACGATACTTTAATCAAAACTGGCCGACGCGAGAAAACAATAGATGATAGTGATAGTTAGAAAACGCTTGTTAACTATTTGTTTTAAGGACTCTAGCGCCTAGGAGGCATGACATCCTACGATCGCTGTGCATCTTTTTTTTTGACTCTTTTGCAAGCTGACGAACATTCTCAGGGGCGGATCTAGGGGGAGGGTGCAGGGGGTGCGCACCCCCCCCCCTCCCCCCCCTCCTGAGATGACCTGCGGTTTTCTAATACAACTGGTATTCTGCCAAAACAAAAAGGTGGTTTATTGGTGTTGAAGTAGAGCAAGAGACGGGTGTACCCCCTCCTAAAAAAAATCCTGGATCCGCCCCTGATTCTGCTTGTTTTTCGTAAGAATCAACACAGTACAGTATCTTTGTTCTTAACCCTTTAAGCCCTAAGAGTGATCAGCATCAAATTTCTCCTTGTAATATCAATGCGTTGTAAAACAGAGTGGTCATGAGAATTACGGGCATGATCACACATGATGAATTTGCTTGATATTTTATCAACTTCTCCCCACTACTTCTATAGTAAATGAATAGGGGCAACAAATGAGAATCCAAATTTTGATCTTAGGGTTCAAAATGTTAAATTTTATGTACAAAGAACCCTGTTAAGAAACCTGGGGTCACGATAAAGAGAAACATATCTTACTCGAAGCAATACACATGAATGACAGTAAAATATGTGTTGCTACCTGATGATTACTACATGCATTGCAGACCTATGCTCTGTGTTTGTCACCTGATATAAGATTGGTTCTCAAGTCGCCATATTGTCTCGTGACTTGGGTTTGGAACTATTTTGGAATGGTGGTCTTTCTGCGAATATGGGCTTTTTATCGTTTTCTTGTAAAACTTGAACCATCTTAAACAGTCGAAACTCTAACTACTGACTAGTCTTGCTACTTGGTACCTCTAATCAACCTAACTACCATCGTGCATGCTTGAAAACTGAAGTTAGACAATCAGTGGAAAAGAAAGCTGATTATTAAAATACGTACAGGTGTTAGTTTGATTTCTCGATTTATCTTCGCAAAAATATGGAATGGTTTCTCTTAACACGGTTTATAAATTCACATGCATTGTAGCCGTGGAAATGCACGCGTCATGCCTGAGGGATGAGAAGGTTGGTCGAGGGCCATTTACTTGAGTGGTTATTAGAAAATGCATACAACGTAAGATGTTTAAGCGTGACTGTGTAGTATCTATTGTTATGAAAATCGTCTTGTTTTATTTTCGGTTCTGAGAATAGAGACAAAGCTCTAAACACAGTGCCGCGCTACAACTCGTACACGTATTACTTGAGTCACAGAACTGCTAATTACAGTAGTAACCGCATCACTAAAAGAGGCAAAAGCTAAGACGTATCTTTGCATGAATTGAATTGTAAATAAATTGAAGGACCATGTAGTTTTGTTACTTTAGACTATATTTAGGAAGAGAACTATTTTCTATCGTCTGTTGCTACGGATGATGGACATATAGAAACCTGAAAAAGTTTGGCCGATTTTTTCAAGTTTTAATGCTGTGTCTGCAAAACTCATCAAAAAATTTTATGGTTAATGCTTCCTTATGAAGTTTGTTTTATATCTTCTTCAAACTCTACAGAACAGTAGCAATTTTTGTGTGAGTAAAGGTATGAAGTAATGACTTATAAGCACAGAATTATCCCAAACTAACAATTGCCTCGTGACAAGTCCCGAAAATGTTTGTCGAGTTATAAAATCTTGATACAGTAGCCGATCCACTCATGTACCTAAAAACATTGCTCTTGTTTACTCACTCATATTTTCTTCTTTTTTGGTGACCTGGCCACTCATGCGCATAAACAAATCTATTTCTATCGGCCGAACCACTCATGCGAGCGGTGGTCATTCCACTCAAGCACAGCTGTAGCACTACAATTTGAACTAAAACGACTTAATAACAAACTCGAAAAAAAAAAAACTAAATAAACAGGGAAAATTTACCCAAGAGGAGAGGCAACAGCTCCTGAATTCTTCCTGGGATGAAGTTCAATGGCGGCAGGGTTTTAATGGTTGGACATGTCAAACGTGAAATGCGAAGACTTGATTTGCCTGCGCTCAACCTTGCTAAATCTTGACTTGACTTCTTTCTTTATGTCAATGCTAAAATTCTCGGGCTGTAACAAACGGCATCGAGTGTAGTTCGTTGAGGCCAGATATACACGCGTCTAATGTACTAAAGGGTTAAATTGTATGTATGAAAGAACCCTGTTAAGAGACCTGGGGTCACCGTAAAGAGAAACGTATTCTTACGCGAAGAAATACACATGAATGTACAGTAATTATGTGCTGCTAACGAATGCCTTACTACATGCATTGCAGACCTACACTGTGTGCTTGTCACATGATATAAGATTAGTTCTGAAGTCACCACATTGTCACTTGGTTTGGAACTATTTCGGAAAGGTGTTCTCTATTGTTTTCTTGTGAAACTTGAACCATCTTCATATATCTTAAGCAGGCGAAAACCTAACTATCCATCGTGTATTCTTGAAAATTGAAGTTAGATAACCAGTGGAATAGAAATTGATTATAAAAATACGCGCACATGTTAGTTTGAGTTCTCGATTTATTTTCGCAACAATATGGAATGGTTGCTCTTAACACAGTATATAACTTACATGCATTGTAGCCTTGGTAATGTACGCATGGGAGGCTGGCCGGGTCGAAGGCCATTTACTTGAGATGTTATTAGAAAATGCATACAATGTAAGATGTTTAAGCGTGATTGTGTAGTATCTATTGTTATGAAAATCGTCTTGTTTTATTTTGGGTTCAGTGATGTTTGCAAATTGCCGAGGACTGTTGTTTATGTCCTTTTACACGATTGTGTAAATGTCCGCGTTTGTAACCTACATAGCCTGCATCACACAGGTCACATAAACTAACGGCACAGTTCATTTACGATCGGTGGCTTTGCTCACTTTACATTCAGTTCTTTGGGTTCTAAACACAGTGCCCTTACGTAACTCGTACACGTACCACTTGAGTCACCGTACCGCTAATTAGCATAGGTAATAGCATGATTTGCAGTGATATTTGGCGTAAATACCACGAGTGATATTTCGAAATTGTTTTACGTACGTTATTTGTACGTAATGCCAAATATCACGTACAAATCATACTATTATTTGTTTACACTACTGCTAATTAGTATAGGTAATATCATGATTGGTAGTGATATTTGGCATAAATACCACTAGTGATATTTCTAAATTGTTATACGTACGTTATTTGTAGGTAATGCCAAGTATCACGTAGAAATCATACTATTATTTGTTTACACTACTACCCGCAAAGGTTTTGTAATTTTCACATGTAGGTATTTCAAATTAAGCTGAAATACCACTGCTCTAAGCCAATTAAATTGCAAAAATTTCTCATGTAGTAGAAGAACAGAAGTAATCGCATCACTAAAATAGGCAAAAGACAAAACGTATCCTTGCATGAATTGAGTTCTAAAAAAAATTGATGGACCATACAGTTTTGTTAATTAAGACTATATTTACGCAGGGAACTATTTCTGTCGCCTGTTGCTACGGATGATGGACATTTAGAAGCCCGAAAAAGTTTGGCCGATTTTTTAAAGTTTTAATGCTATGTTTTAATTTTATGGTTAATGCTCCCTTATGAAGTTCTTCTTCAAACTCTACAGTACAGGAGCAACTTTTGTGTGAGTAAAGGTACGAAGTAATGACTTAAGCACAGAATCATTCTGAACCAACAATTTCCTGGTGACAAGTCCCGAAAACGTTTCTCGAGTTATGAAATCTTAATAAATAAATAAATAAATAAACGGGGGAAATTTACCCAAGAGGTGAAGCTCCTGGATTCTTCCCGGGATGAAGTTCAATAGCGGCAGGGTTTTAATGGTTGGACACGTCAAACGTGAAAAGCGAACGAATCACTCAAGTATTTTAAGGCCTGGGACTACTGGGTTTACCTGTGGAAAATGATTTATTGGCTGTAACTTCGGCACAGATAATGGGGCTGAATTAAAATTTAACACACACATAAAGAACTCATCGTCCTTAACATTTTAAAGTATCAACATTGTGTTGATAAGCCACGCGAGACGTCACGTGACCATTTTGCTAAAAACCGATTGTTAGCTGGCTTAAGGAAAGAAATCGTGCAATAACATTTTTGTAATTCATATTAGATATTTTTAACACTTTGAAATGACCGTCCATTGCACTTCAATAAAAAATGGTGAGGGAAAATATCATTTCAAGTGCTCAAATTTAATCTCGAGTTATCAAAAACTTTAGTTTTAAACTT